TTTTTTTTTTTTTTTTTTTTTTTTTTTTTTTTTTTTTTTTTTTTTTTTTTTTTTTTTTTGTTTTTTTTTTTTTTTTTTTTTTTTTTTTTTTTTTTTTTTTTTTTTTTTTTTTTATTTTTTTGTTTTTTTTTTCTTTTTTTTTTCTTTTTTTTTTTTTTTTTTTTTTTATTTTTTTTTTTTTTTTTTTTTTTTTTTTTTTTTTTTTGTTTTTTTTTTATTTTTTATTTTTTTTTTATTATATTTTTTTTTTTTTTTTTTTTTTTTTTTTTTTTTTTTTTTTATTTTTTTTTTTTTTTTTTTTTTTTTTTTTGTTTTTTTTTTTTTTTTTTTTTTTTTTTTTTTTTTATTTTTTTTTTTTTATTTTTTTTTTTTTTTTTTTTTTTTTTTTTTTTGTTTTTTTTTTTTTTTTTTTTTTTTTTGTTTGTTTTTTTTTTTTTTTTTTTTTGTTTTTATTATTTTAATACATTTAGGTATAAAATATAGATGCACTTTTGCTTGATTGCTCTCGGTCTGTAACGTGCAAAATAAATTGGCAATACGCAACTTTTTCAGGGTTTCAATATTCGTAGGCGTTGATGTGTAATTATATAAAATTAAAGTTGTAGGTATCTGGTAACAAATACGTGTGGGTATAGACGATTGTTATACAGTAAGTACAGTTTCATCACAAAACCTGCTCTAGTACACCACGACAGGTTAGGTCGCCCGCGTACGACCCGAGTTAATCTATCGCGATTGACGTCATCCAGATAACTACTCATGTTGATTTGAGGTGATTTGGGCTGTACATGCGCCGATCAGCACGGCCAGATCGAGCGTTCTACAGGAAACGTAGACTGGTTCGGCGGCCCAGTGTTTGTACCAGCACAAGGCAGTTCTCGTAGGCACAAACGAGAGCAACGCTTGGACGCAGGCGCAGTCTACAAAAACAGTCACGTGACTTATGGTATCAGTGACGTCGACACGTAGTTGGTGATCTGCTGGGACTCCGCGTTTGACGCCGACCAGCGTGGTAGAATAGGAACTGTTTCTACTCCCTGACTTTCGCATCGGCAGTCGCGAGAAGCGAATTGGTCGCTCGAAGCCTAAAGACGAACTCATAGTCAAGTTTAGTCGCCGATGTTTTTCATCGGCGATCTGGGCGCGGTTTAACCGGGTTCTTTGTTGTAGCCGATCTTCAATATTTTGTCGGCGACCAAATCGTAAGACGTTAAGACTATAGCGTAAGGACATAGCGCGTTGCCTGGCTTCACGACACTGAGACACGTCTTAACTCTTTGTCTAAGTTACTATATTTGCCACTTATTATACCTTAATAATAAGTATTAATTTAAATAATTTTATATTAGTAACTAATGTATTATTAGTAAATCTAAAGAGTTGCCTAGGACTAGGCCTAGAGCATAGCAGGCAGGCCTAAGACTAGAGAGGGTTCAGTTCCCTGAATTAGTTCAGCTTCGCCGCATTTAGCTTAATCGATGCGCTGGAAGGTTCGATTAAGTTAATAGCATGCACTTTTGGAGTAACGCTAAACATTTAGTAGCCTGTTTGTTGAGTAATAGCTGAGAAAACAAAATTTGGAAGAAAATTATATGTCGCGGCATTTTGAAGCGTGTGTGATAACAGCGACGGATGCGGGGGAAAAATAATAACGTGTGTATTTTCTTCCGAAACTGCAGATGTTGAGAACAACAACCGGCCATCGTTGTTAACATGTATTAAATTCGCGAATAACTAGTTTGCGGCCTTGAATTACGCTACTTGCTAGTAAGATTATGTAAATTATATCGTGACAAAATATATATATTATAATGAGCACAGAAAGGATAAATTTTCTTATTGTTTATATAAAGTCGTTGATACTTTTTTTATCGCGTTATTTTTTTAGCTGAACGTGCGGAACAGGAGGCCGTTATGCCATTTCTACAAAAGGTATAGAGACAAGTCTTGATGTTTTCAACGCGTTCTGTGCAGTTGTACATTTTGATTCATAGATGCTCGTTCAGTGTAAATAAATGTAAATTGTTTAGAGTCCGAGAAGTTTCACATAAATAGTGTTTATTTTAAAGTTTGCATAAGAAATTGTGTTGGCTTTGAAAGCCGAGTTTTCCGAGCGTTAACCGGCTTGGCGCCATGCTTGTTGGACTGTTGGCGCGCGTTTGTATTGGCTGTATAATGTAACCCAACAAGAGTAGGGTTACAACGCGAGCTAGACCGAATAATTCTGTCCCATATAACTTTTTTTATATTTTGGTTTACATTATTGTATCTAATGCGGGCCCGACGCCGTCATTGGCGGCAAACAAACGCTTCGTTCCTCTACATGGCCTTTACCTAGTCTAGTACTATAGCCGGCGATCGCTCGCCCAGCAGGCTATTAGCAGCATTCTGGCGTAGATTAATAATAAGCAAATGGTCCAACTGATGTGACCAAAAATTTATCCCCAAAAGCGTAAATGATCGGGCTTTTAATATTATCTATCTAACATGGAAATCTCACCCTATCTTTTTGAACACTTCCCAACTTTGACACAGGTATTTATGGCTGTTATTCCTCAAGTCTAGAACTGACTGTGTTTTGTTTTAATGCAGGCTTGCCTCGCTTATGTGTGCACGCGTGACTCTTCAGTGGCTAAGAACTTTGAGAATAACAGCTAAATAACTGGTGTAAAGTTGTGGACGTGTTTCGAAGAGATAGTGAGATGTACATGTTGCATAGATAAGTGTTAAAAAGCCGATCACTTTTACGTTCTTGGGATAAATTTTGGTCAGATCAGTTGGACCATTTGGCTTGATATTACATCTAAATGGCAGAATGTGCTATACCGGCCCGCGGCAGGCTGGATCCGCGGGCTATAGTACTAGAGCTAGCTTTTTACGCTTGGCCTCGTTATGTGTATACATTTCACCTTCAATCGTTATTCATTCTTAAAAGATAGTTTTTGCAGAACGCTGCTCATTTAACGTAGAGTAAATTACTTGGCCATTTACAACGATCAGCCCAATCAGGAGCGAGTTCTATCACTGATCAGTATCAAGTCCTGCAGCGGCCACAGATACAAGCGAGAACCAGGGGCTATTGTTAGCCCCCAGACTGCGACGGATTGTCTATAAAGCCTGACGGGCCCAAGGATAGAGAAATGGGTCCAATAAAACAATGTGGCCTAAACTAACTCGAACCTAATTCTAACCCTAACTCTGAACGCTAACCTAACCTAATCCTAACCCTAACCATACCCTAACCTATTATATTGATGTCAGGGTTCTCCCAGGATGAAATTCAAACAGGGGGAAGGGGAGGGTAAGGGGAGGGGGGGGGAACTAGGGGGCGTGTTTTTTAGCGTAACACTAATTAATGCGTAAAATCGCACCACACCATAGACGGTATTTTGGGTTTTGTATATATAAGATATAGCCGAGTCGGTGTACAGTAAGTCTGTAAGGGACAGGTTGACTGTTGTATTGTCTACAGTGCAATGCGTGGTACTGTAAAAATACATGCGCCGTGTGCCTGGTCGAATAGTAACTTCTTGACGATGCGATCGCGCGCTGTCAAACTTATTGTTGTGGAATTTTCCAACGGGGCAGAGGTAAATTTAAACGGGGCCAACGATTCAACGGGGGGGAGTTTTTTCCAAACGGGCGCGCGCGCCCCGTTTGCGCAACGTGGGAGAACCCTGGATGTAATATTATATATATATTGATGTAAATTACATTGGTTTTATTGGGACGCCATGTCTCTATCCTTGAACCAGCCGGACACCCTTCCATACAAAAAACTATCGCTCTGCAGATCTAAGATGAATGACTCTGTATATCTCAAATAAAATATTCCATTACCACCTTTGACTTGCCTTGTTTCAAGCCTTCTTTAGTGATATCTCTAAACTGTCAATTTTTACAATTATTTGAAGCTAGTATCAACACGTAAATAACGAAAGCATTCGTATATTTTTTGGTTGCTCTGTGATTATTTAAAACACGTCTTGATGTTGGGTCTATGAATGTTGAAAATCATTTATTCTGGCAAACCGGCCACCAGGTGGAAAACGGCCTGTGACGTCAGGCTAGGTTCTCCCCGCGTTGCGCGCACACAAAGCCTGCATCAGTGATGAGCACAAAGCTATCGCTCGGCTGTAACTTATATGGGCATAAACATCCAACTGCCATATTAATCATCATGAGCATGATAATATATATATACATATATGCATGGTAGACTTTACTACCGGCATTAAACACATTAAATACTCGAAGTAACATCGGTTCAACCTATTGAACTATTGCCGAGCGGCTGGATGCAAGGTTTGAAACGGTATTGTAACCCTAGCAATACCGTTTCTTGGAGCTAGGGCTATTGTAAGACTCGCTCTGATTGGTCTGATTGTTTGTAAATGGCAAACGTAATTTACTAAAGTTAAATGAAGCAGGGTTTCTGAAAAACAATCTTTTAAGAAGTGAATACCGCCGTTGTCTAATTTTCCCCCAGAAGAAACCTTGAGTATAATGTGTAATATCACAGAAAAGAACCGTTAATGCAGCACAACGTTCGCTCGGCTGTGTACCGGATATGTAAACACTGTAAACATCCTGTGGGGCTACTTTCGTAACTTTTGTTTAGATTTTATGAAGAAATGTTGTGAAAGTAGCAATACAAATAAGTTGTAGTGAATTTTTGCAACATAGACGAGATCACAGTAGGTATATATATATATGCATTTAGCTGCGAGGTTTATCCACTTTAAACGAACCCGGATACTGTAAACAAAAGGCAATACTGTCAGCTTTCCTTGCTCTTAGTCTTAGTAGTAATCTGTGCTCATGGGTAATTAAAGTGTAAAAATAGTAAGTTAAAGCATTGTTTACCGCACAGTTTTTGTCCTCTTTTATGGATGTGGCGTTGAAATGATTGCATAGTGGTTAATGATTTTATGGCTGTGATAAGGTATCAGATATATAAGGAGGTTTGTTATGCGATCCATTGTTTATATCACTAATCTATTTTTTCAGGGATTGATGACTACTGTGCCTATGGGCGCGTTGACATTGAACCAACATTGTGAGTATAAGAGTTGTAAGTTTTCAAAAAACTTCATGTCATAGAACATTTGCACATTTTTGAGAAAATGACCGATGTGGACATTGATCTTTATGCTGATGATGTCGGAGATGAGTTCAGTACAGAAGATTACAATGGCGGCGCTGTCGATTTGTACGATGATGTCATAACTGCGCCATCTGGTGAGCAGGAAAATGAAGATGAATTCACAGATGCTCCGGAGATAAAGGCATCTGAACAGGCACAGACACCCTCACCAGCCACAACCACCTACTCCGGCAAGCGAGTCTCACTATATGTCGGTAACCTTACCTGGTGGACCACAGATCAAGACCTCACTGACTCTATAAATTCCATCGGTGTTCACGACATAGTTGAAATTAAGTTCTACGAAAACAGAGCCAACGGACAGTCGAAGGGGTTCGCTGTTGTGAACCTCGCGTCCGACGGTTCGTCGCGGATTGTTATGGAAAAATTGTCACGAAAGGAATTGCACGGCCAGCATCCCGTAGTGACGCACTGCAACAGAGCAACGCTAGCGCAGTTCGAGGCGCAGTCGCGCAAGGCGAGCGAGCAGCCTGGTGGTCCGCCACCGACCGCAGGTAGGGTGGTGCAAGGAACGCAGATGATGGGGCGCGGACGTGGGCGAGGTAACTTCATGCCGGGCCAGCGGCCGCCCGGACTGCGTGGGCCGCCGAACCAAGGACCGCCCGGTCACCCAGGTCATCCCGGGGGACCTCAAGGTCACCTCAACGGTCCCCCGCCATACGGCGGGCCGCCGCACGGCGGGCCACCGCACGGCGGGCCGCCGCGAGGGCCGCCTCCGCGCGGACAAGCATGAAAGACACTTAGCATCAGCAAAAGGAGGAATGAGCTATGAAGGTATCTAAATCAGTAAGATCTAAATAAGTACGCTCATAGACCGCGAGAGTTTGTTTACCATTGTAATTCAATCGAGACAAAACGAGTCTGAATGGATATCGTTCACCATGAATCTATACATAACAATCCGTGCGTTCAACAGCGTTTACAATAATGTTGACAACTTGAGTTTAACTGGTAGGCCTACGATTCATCAAGGAAAGCGACGCCACTCCTTCCTTCAGCTCTCTCTGTCCTCCTCTCTTCTCATTCTCTCTCTCTCTTCTCTCTCTGCTCTCGGGCTCTCTTCGCTCTCTTCTTCTCTCGCTCTCTCCTTCTCTCTCTTCGCGTCCCAGCGGTGTCTCGTCCCGTACCGGACCGCCCAGGGGCCATGCAAAGGTCCACAGAGCCTCCTGTTGCGCAGTTAAAATAGCTTATACAATATAGAGGATATTGATATATATATATCTTTCTCTTTCTATATCCACACACACACTCCTTTCTTCCCTCTTCTTTCTGCTGCCTTTTCGTCGGCTGTATTCTCGTCTCTTTCCCCTCTCTCTCTCTTCTCTCCTCTGTCGACCTGCCATCACACTCTTCTTCATTTCCGTGTCCTTTTACAACTCACTCTCTTCTTTCTCATTCCACCCAAGCTCTCTCTGTCTCTTCTGCCTCTCTCTCATTCTTGTTTGTCTGCCTCTCTCTTATCTTTAGCTCACATCAATCACTTGCCTCACCCCTACCTAACCCCGGATTAACTTTTTTTCCCTCTCCTTTTCTCTCCCTCTTCTCTCATCTCTCTCTCTCTCCTCCTTCGTCTCTCTCTCTCGCGGTGTGTGTGTGGAGTGTACAGAGGCAAGACATGCTGCGGCCGGTGAATGGGCGGGAACATCTCACCTTCTAGGCTCTCGTCGTCTCGCGGAGGCCGCATGTTTGAGATCGTCGCGGAAGCGCGGCGTCGTTTCTCTTCACAGAGGTTATGCCGAGTCCGTTTCCATGACACACTGACGCGCCGCCTGCGAGTGAAGAGCGCTCTCGCCTGGCAGCGTTCTCCGTCTCAGCGACTCAGTATGCACGCGCAGGTTTGCTTGCCGTCCATGTGTCAAACCGAGCGCGCCGCGAAAGTCGCAGTCGGGTAATGCGAGCCGTAGAAAGTCTCTGCGCGCGCTGCTGCACGCGTGATGCCAGAGCGCGCGTACGGGCTACACACCCACTGCACGTATCTTCGAGTCAGCGAAGTCGATCGGCTTCACGAGTCGCAGGTCCGGGGATGGGTGGAGGGCGATCTGGAAAAGATATAATTATGGTGACGGTGCTGTTAGAGACGAAGCTGGAGATGGCGAATGGACGAAAATAGTGTTTGCGAAAACTATGCGGTGTCTCCGGTAAGTCGCTGTTTTAATGAAAATCAACCTGGATGACCCTATTGAAAATCACTGCCGGATCGGCAGGTCGGCGGACATCAGCCTTTGACGGAGTCAATATATACTCTAAGATAATACTTAAAGCGGACAATAAAGGAGACGGGAATCGAAGAGAAGTGCACAGAGTATAGGGGAGATCGCGCGCGCGCGTCGTGTGCGCGGTGGCGTACGGCTGTTGTGTTTGTGGTGTAATGCGTGGTGCGTGGTGTGTAGTGGTCAGCTTATAATATCCTCCCGTAGATGGGAGAGAGATATCAATTGATGAGTTCTGCGCGTGTGTGTATGACTGAGATAGCTGCATCCCTGGCTTGCGCGCAGTTTGTTCGAGAAGCATTATCCCTGCTATAGTTCATTAAAAATTCAGTCGCAGTTTAAAATCTGCGAATAATTCTTTGATTGTGTAATTTGTAATATATAATTATATCTTCGTAAAGTGAAACTAACACACAAATCTCAACAAGCATGCAAGATACAACACTGCACGCAACATCTAGACTGTGATAACTAGAGCCGTCCGGACAGATATCTGCAACGAATTTCGCTAGCTGTTAGCTGAATAGCTGCGTATACCGCTCTTGTTAGGTGGGACCCTTTATCGTTACAACAGCTATTGCGGATTTAGGCCCCTCGGGTATGGGCTGAGCGATGGACATTATCTGTAACTGGCACATGTATGTGCGTTATATCTTTTGCGCTACATTTCAAGCGCCTTGTGAAATGGTAATCACGGTGCGCTACCCCTGAGCGCACGCGCGTAGACAGGTACGACCCCTGGGTGTGAATACTACGGTAGCGTGCAGCCACTTCGGGCCGTTTCTTGTACTCAGGCATCGTGAAGTAAACCACGCTTATCTTCTGTGAAGTAAGAAGATAAAATCTATGGGTTATTGCAACGGCAGCGTAAGGAGGAACGCCGCGTCCTCACGAAGCAGTGCTCCAAGGCTGACTATTAATCGATGATGATATGTATTATGCACGGCATTGTTCATCGGCCTACTACGTACACATATTATATTATATATATATATATACCATATATATATATTATATCTCTTTAACTAACTCGATTTTTATTTGGACTATTTACATCATTATAATCGGGTAGTATATTTTTATCAGACGTAATAATGACCTTAATTACGTTAGCCTAGATATTAGCTCTTGGATATATCTAGGGTAGTAATACTGAGACTGAAGCGAGAAGTATAGGAAGCTGAAGGGGTGGCTGGGAGACGCGAGGCGCGCGCACAACACACGCGCGCGGCACATGCACACACAGCCACGCACGCGTGCGCACAACAATCACCACGCCACACACACACGCCGCGACACAACATCACACACACGCACACACACACAGCGCGGGCAGCAGTGCACACACACGGGCACACACAGCACACACACACACACACATCGCCAGCGCCGCACGACACCATACACGGCCACACACACGTATACCCGCGGTGCACAAGGGGTTCACGCCACACACGCACACACACACAACGCGCGCGCGCCGCGCTCGCAGAGAGGGGGCAGAGAAAGAAAGAGAGAAGGGGGGGAAACAATATAATAGATGATTAATTAGATAGGATCGATGAGAGAGGAGAGGGAGAAAGAAAGAAAGAGAGGAAAGGAGGAAAGAGAGGAAAGAGAGAGAGCAGATAGCGCATTCTCCGTTGGCTGACTGTGTTGATCGACTGTTACCAATGGCTCGATTATGGTACCTAAACACGGAATTACCTAACACACCACACAACAACACACACACACACACACACAGCACACAGCCGCACGCACACCACACGCACGCACGCACGCACGCACGCACGCACGCACGCGCGCGCGCGTACGCCGCGCTCGCAGAGAGAGAGGCAGAGAAAGAAAGAGAGAGAGAGAAGGGGGAGGGGAGAAACAGATATAAGATAGTACTAGAGAGATAGTTGATAGATCGATAGAGAGAGAGGGAGAGAGAGAAGAAAGAGAGGAAGGGAGAAGAGATAGCACATTTCAACGTTGGCTGATGGTATTGATCGCCTGTTACGAAGGTTGATTATGTTTACTAAACACGGAATAAAGGTAGGATATAACCACTTAGGATATAATATGAAAACTTTCCTAATGGCGCGTACGCCAGCTGAGCGAGAACGAAACCACGATGGTGAATCCGCTCCCGCTTTATCCGAAGACGCGCGAGCATTCCTGCCAGCAGAGAAGGATTGAAGTGATGCGGTTGACAGATTTAGTTCTCCTGCGAAACAAGCCATCGTCGGTGTCCTTCACGCGGCTATTACCGTCCCCAACGAGCAGCTATAGGGAAATCGAAACGCTTTTGGACATCGTTATAACGTTTAATCTGGCGGAGGTGGTTCAATACGCCCGAGAGGCGCGTATTGTTGCACGGTAAGTCGATACATGCGGGGGCCAAAGGCCAAACGCATTTAAATGCAGGATATGCTACGAACCTTTCTGGTCATTGACACGAGACCTCACGCGTAGCATGGGTTACGGGAGCGATTGTTGTTATAACAAAAAAAGAACAAGGAAAAATGCGCAGCTCAATGCGAGAACAGAATGCTGTTCGTTGGCATGTTGCTTTTGTCAAGTTTGAATACTTTATACCTGCTTGAATATATGCACGGGCTCTATTCAAAATTACGTAATTGGTTGATTATTGAATGGAGCCTGTCAATTTATACAAACCCACGACATAATTTTTTACGTCCACGGAAAGATTATAGTGTATTATTAGCTCATGAATATTGTAGCCTGCCAATATAAACTAATAAGACCGACGGCATAATAATAGGAATTGTTATCACCTGTACTAAATAACAGACACTCCATGAATGTGAGAAGCAATATATAATATTCAATGCTTCGAGCACGCTGCAATATATAATAGATTGTAATATATAGTAATCTATTGTAATATCTTGTAGTGTATTTTGGAGTAAGTTGTCGCTATGCCAAATCGTAACAGGAATGTTTCTGTACTCTTTATTTCGCTGCGGAAATCTGGTAAATGCAAATACACACTGCGCAAACACTGTCTGGTATTCCAAGGCAATTTATCATATGCAATAAGGAGAAATATAAAGACTTACTGAAAGAAAAAATAACGAAGATATCAACTATGTCATCTATCGATGAAGTCATATATATCTTCCTCTCCAATGCGAAGCCGAATCGATCAAAACGTTCTACGACATGTCCGTGCGACTGCCGTGGTTGCATAAGGCAGACGCATATCAGCAGTGTGTAGGTGCCGCCTGACGAAAGTCCCACACAAGTGAAGCTGATCATTTCCTCTTCATCATCACTCGCGCATAATCTCCCCCAAATAAGGATGACTCGCATGCCCTCTGCCTACACTCAGTAACTGAGGGTCGGAAGACGTTTACAACAACACCACGCTCTCGTTCAGGCGTTTGCCCGCTATTGCCAAACTACTCGCAACACGCGCACTGGCGACAATTTCGGGGCCCCAGGGATTGTCGTATTGTAATAAGCAAGGCGTGCTGTAAGGGGGGTAGTCCATGTGGGGTGTTCTCAGGTG